GTGAACAATTATGTTTGATTATTTGATAAAAAACCACCATTTTAACTTAATATATAATATTTTAATTAAATGAAAAATATATATGATTTAATCGAATAATATTTATATATTACTTTATATGCAAGTTTATTAAAAATGTAAAAAATTTAAGAAATTTATTGTCAAATAATTTACTGTTCTGAGATTGAATCCAAATTGTTACCCTCACTCTCCCCCGAGTTTATTTAGAAATTAAAATTTAGATTAATTTTGAAAAGAACGAGGATGTCTCTCTAATAAAGTTATTTTATTGTTAAATAAATGTGTCCGAATTTTAGTCTCTAAATATTGCGATGGGGAGATTTCATAAAGGTAGTAGGTGATAAGCCATAGAATGTGAAGAGCAACTATTCATAAAGAATGGTGTCAAATTAGTCTCTATTTTAATAGGACCATCTCAACTAGATCCTATAATACATGAATATTTTAATAAATTTATGGCACTCAACTTTTTTTCATATTAACTCTTCAATATTAATGTTTGGACTAAATTGATAATAAGTGATTTAATATTATGAATAAATTGATAGTAAGTGGTATAATATTATATATTTGCTGATAATAAGAATAAGATATACTGGCTATTTTGAAGTATGCATCCAATGTGATTGTTTATAACAACTAAGCCATTAAGTAGAGTTAACTTAATTAAATTTTGTCACAAAATTATATCTTTATTCAACTCGTTAATCTCGATATAATTTTAATAGTTTTTATAATTTTTATAAATATTTTTTAATCTCTAATTGTTTGATTTATCTTCATCTGATATATTTTTTTTTATAATAGAATTTACAAGTCTTTCCTCTATTTATCAAATTACTTAAATCTATTTTTTCACATCTTTTTTATTATAAGGGTTATCCCAACATACTCTCTAATATTGACATTTACAATTTTATCTTGTCTAATCTTATCATATATCTAACTGAATGTGTTCATCTCTATTAAATTTAATTTATTTTCGTATTGATTATTAACTACTCAACATTTTATCACATACAACATCTTAAGTCTTACCGATATTTGATAAATTTTTCTCTTTAGCTTGAGTGATAATTTTGTATCACATAAATTTCCGAGACTCTTCTCCACTTTAGTCACCCAACTTAAATTTGAATGATTTACATCTCCTTTATTTATCAATCGTTTTACATTATAGATCCAAGATATTTAAACTTAATGACTTGTGAGATGATATGATTTTCAACTTACATCTCTAAATTATAGACACTTATCTTTATGTTGAATTTATATTCATATATTTCGTCTTACTTCTACTTAGACAAAAGTCATGTGTTTTTAAGACTCGTCTCCAAGTCTCTAATCTCTCATTTAAATTCTCTTTCGACTCTCTAAGTATGATTATATCTTCTATGAAAAAAACATACTTCTCATTGCTAACTCTTAGATGTGTTATGTTAATACATTCAAAATTAAAATAAAAAGATAAAGATTTGAAGATGAACCTCTATGCAATTCTATTATAATAGAAAAATTATTTGTTATACGCACACTAGTCAATACTCCTTTATACATATTTGGAATAACTCAAATATAAACAGAGAACATAACAGTAATAAATTAATTTTATATTCAAAAGTCAAAATGATATTAATTTTAAATTTAAATATACATAATAAGTTATCGTATTTTTGATTTTAATCTATAATTTGTTTTTTTTTAGTAGTTATTAATTTTTTTTGGTTTTTAATTTTTAAAATTAAAACCTGCGGAAAAACCAATAAATTTTAAATCCGTAAGAAAATCGGCAGAAAACCTACAAATTATTCTACGGATTTTTAATTTAAGAATTTAAATCAAAAAGATTTAACATTCAAAAAGTATTTTTTAAAAATACAAATTAAAGATTAAAAATAAACACATGCTAATTTATAGAGACTAACATACTATTTAAACTTTAATTTTAAAACAAAGGTTATTTATTAAAATGACACAAACGGACGGAGTTGTGTAGGTTGCACACACAAAAAGAATCCTTTTAACAATAATAGCTATTTGATGACGATGAAATATTCAATTTGTAGCCGTGTTTAACTTTGCTGCTTGACTAGTCTCATCATCAAAGCCATGACATGAGTTATGTTCCTTGAATTCCTTGTCTTACAATGCAATACCAAACGCTTTCCATGTCTAGTTTACATTCCACAAACCTGTGCTCTGATTGGTTGGTGTCTGAGGTGTTCTTTTTCAGTGAAAGGAAATGTGAAGAGAACAACCTTTACATAACAGGAGAATTGTGGAATTTTGCTCCGCTAATGAGGGAAAAGAAAGTACAAGTGGCTACATATCCTTGACCACTAAAATGGATAAACCTAGCAATTGGGTCCTTGATGCATCTTTGGAACTGTACATGACATTGCCAACTAGTACAAGTTTGAAGAGGAACACTAATATGCCCCAACAAGAAAACACTCAGCATATGCTCTAAAATAGCAACAGACCATGATATCTCCTTTCCGACTTTTCATCAACATTATTGGTACAATCAGGGTGCCATTCTCCCCCCACAAAACATCATATCAAAAAGCAATGAAAAGCCAACCTAACTCTACTTACTATCAAGTGGAATATAAAAGGTTAAAATAAACAACTAATTCATATTCCAATAACCAATGTGGATAAACATCAAGACTCCATCTTGAAAATCCATCCTACTCTAAAAGTATTGATTTGTGAAATTGGATAAGCATATATTGGCAGGCAGTTCAAATAAGCTGTGATTCGATTTCGATTTTGACAATAGATGGAAAGATTTAGCATTGTCAACCATATATTTAAATGGCTATTCCTAAGTTAGGCAAGAAAGGTTAGGAATTTGTAAGGGAGAAAAGAGGAAAAAGGGTAAAAGATTATAGTGGGGAATCCTGAGCTTGAAAGGGGGTTTAACAGTGAAGATGACATAAGCATTGTTCCCAACAGAACCAAGCATCATCGGGTGGGGTTACTGATTGGAGTGACATAAAATAAACAACATCCCATCTAACTTCCATTATACTCTGATACATTTGTCTCTTAGTTTTCTCTAATAAGCCTTTTCTTATCTACTCAACTTACCTTGAACACCAGACAGAACACATCCAGGATGATCGAGGGAGATGAAACAACTCTTACAGCAGCAGCCAAGGACCAGCAAGGTGATGTGATGGACAGAGATAAGAACAGTGATGATGGAAGTGAACATGATGACGACCCCAAAGAGTGGTTAAACTTGAGCTTAGGAGGCACTTCACTCTCAACGCCTGAAGACCCTGATTCACAATCAAGACCAGCCAAAGTTTTTTCGTGCAACTTTTGCATGAGAAAGTTCTTTAGTTCACAAGCTTTAGGAGGTCATCAGAATGCTCACAAAAGGGAAAGAGGTGCAGCCAGAAGATATCAATCTCAGAGTCAGAGGACGATGGCACTAATGAGCTTGTCCATGAACAATCCAATGTTTCGATCACTTGGTGTCCAGGCTCATTCACTAGTGCATAAGCCTTGTAGAGGAGGAACTACGGTGGCCCCAAGCTTTCAAGAAGCATATGCAGCAGGGATCGGAATGGCATGTACACCTTTCACGTCTGAATATCATACTGATCAGGTGTGGCCAGGCAGCTTTCGTATGGTTTCACAACAGCCCCAACCACCACAGGAATCACTCAAGCTTGATTTAGACCTCAGACTTTGATAATTTGTTGGCTCTCCTTAGAAGTTTTGTCCTCCTTTTCAGCCTGAAGAGCTTTTTCATTGATCTAAGCAGGACAAATACTCATCAAAAGAAATTTAAGCAGGACACTTACTCAGGTAGGAGACCCTTGATCTGGAAGAGTCAAATAATTTACCAAATAGTACTGCATGGTTATGATAGGAGATTTAGTGATTTATAGTTTCTACTGTATGTACATGACTACATGTTAAGCGCTATAAAAACCAAATTATAACACCCTAGCTATCTGTAGTAGTTACTTAATGCTTGAAGTAATTCCTGATGTGCAGTGCTCCTTTACAAGTTACATTGTTACTAACCTAATAAATGTGAGACTTTGCTTGCAAGGACTAATGCAAACACTTTACTATTTGGGATTTGGGTTTACAATAATCAATAATTCCTGTAATCAACCGATTGATAGAGGTCAGATTTGACAAATTGGCAACTCAAAATCTAAGCCAGCCAATCTTTATAACTGAAAATCTCAAAAACATCCAAATCTATTATCCAGTACTTGAAGTTTGGTGTTTTTCAAGAACGGATGCTTCCATATAGGTAGAGCTTCAAATCTAAAATCAGCAAACGAAGATGGATCTCAATTGAAATTGATAAACACAGTTGAAACTATGAAGCCTCGAGTGGATGCATACTAACACCCGTCAGTAGACAGGAAAAGAAATAGATTTGTTTTAGTACTCCAAAGTCATTCCCTTTCAGAATTTATGGGGCTTTCTCTATAATTATAGCTATGTGGAAAGTAAAAGTCAAGTGACCAATGTCAAATATGAATGCACAGAAATATCATGTAAGCATATGAAGAGTATGAGACATTCATAATTTGGTAAGCTTATACTATAATTTGTTATCCAATAGCAATATAATTGGGTGACAGGTGATATCTGCCAGAGACATTTCATTTGCTTTAAAAGCATTTTTCCTGAACAAAATACACTAATAATACTGGAAAATGAGCCAAACTATTGGATGTGAAGTTTGTCAGTAAGCCAAACAAATCGTCCTTAAATGATTAGCATGCGAGTGACTGCTCAGTTCCATGCATTACCTTCTCCACAAGTTTAAGCCCCCAGATTTCGTAAAAGTACAAAACAAATGTTGCACACATCTCAGCCTGAGCTCATCCCATAAGAAGCAAGTGATGATTTCAACAGACTTGGTATAAGTTAGAATAAAATATAAACAAGATAACAGTTTATCAGAATCCCTGAAGGACATTTACAGCCTTATAGTTTTAAGAGGAAAATACAAGCTTTTGGGTCGCACGTTTGACAATGGGGAGCTTCTGGCTGATGATGTTTGGATCATTATACGCTGCAGAATCAAAAGGGTGCCCTTTCTGCATCAATCAATCAGATAGTCAAGTACAATTAGAAATACGACATTAAATTGTAACTATATTATAATTGTAAATAATACACCTGCCAACGTACTGAAACAGAAAAGAACAGTAAAAGATTAAAATGAAAACATACTACAATAACAACAACAACCAAGCTTTATCCCACTAAGTGGGGGTCGGCTACATTGATCAAATTTCACCGTAATGTTCTAATCAAAACCATGTTTCTATCCAATTCATTAATCTCGAGATCTTTCTTAATAGTGTTCCTCCTATAGTTTTTTTAGGCCTTCCTCTACCTCTAATTGTTTGACTTCTCTCCAACTAAAAACACAGCGGGGAGAAAACTAAAACTACTATAATACGGGGCTGTCAGAAAAGCTAATATCCACCGGGCATTCAGATGGATGTAATTGTCACGAGACTTGAACACCAACCCTTTTGGGTTGAACAGATTGCAAGGGAAAGAATGAGCAACAATAGAGATTCCTCGGGAGGAAAAAAAACTACTCTAAAATGAGTATGAGTGTATTCACCCTTGCATTTCAATGGGTTAAGAGTATGATATATTTTCAATTGAATTAGTGGTATATACACACCCTTATAATAAGACTATTATTAAATATTATTTGGGTACGGAGCTGATGTCTCTTTTGTCAACTTTTCCAAACAAAACTATTCTCAAGCTCTTACAATTATCAATTAATATTGCATATTTTCAGCTTTAGTTTGGAGCATTCTGAGTTAGAGCAGCGGGTGATAAGTATCCTCGCTTATTTATTGATCAGTAGAAAAGTAGCATGCCTTTGATTTAGTAGCTCAAAAGGAGTGCTATCTTTCATAATCAGCTAGCTGTTTAGGGCATTCTAATCGATTAGTATACGAACAAGTTATTGGCTATAAAAAATGAGAGGTTCCACAAATTCTTCTCTGAATCAACTATTCAAGTATTCAGATACTATGCCAACTAGAGGTATTCAATTTAACTGGATAAGTGCGATATCCATATCTGATTACAAAAAAAAACGGATAACTTTATCAAGCTTTTAACCAGTCCATATTTTGGTTCTGTGGGACATCCATATCCAAGTTGTTGGATACCCATAACTCATAAATAACTGAAAATATAACCATATTTTAAAATGTTTTCCATATAAAAATATCTCAATTTTTGAAAAAAGTATCTCAACGGTGATAGTGAAACATCACTTTTGCCAAACCCAAACTGTCTCCTCCATATTCTATAGTCTCTCTCTAAAATATTAGGTCATAAAATCTCCCAAAAACTTGATCAAAATATGATTTTGGTCACACATTCCCTGTTTATTCTCCTTTAATCTTATAAAACTTCAAAAGTATGAAATAAAACCATCAAAAACTAAGAAACCAATTTGCCCCATTTTCTTCTCTGTGAACCATGCACTGTGCTGCATCCATAAAACTTTACAAGCAACAAATATTACTTCAGCACATGAGCAACATTCATCTTCATCAAGCAAATTGGAGAATAAATTGACAAATCCTTGTAAAGCTTCATTTACCGTTGAGCTTGCAGATCTGGACGAGTATGTGATCTTCTTTGAGATATGAGTTGTTATTATTGATGAGCAGAAATCCAATCATGCATTCTAAGATCATTCATGAGTATTCCTGTTTTATCATATTGCTTTATATTATTCAACGATAATTTTTTAGATCCTTTTGCTTTTGATCCCTCAAGAACACCATAGGCAACACAAAAGTTGTTTATGTACCAGAATATATTTGTTTGTAAGAAAAATAACTTTTTTGTAATTATTAAGGTATCTAGAATCCTAAATCTTTTGATTTTCTCTTGTATTTAAAATAATCAAATCTATTCATTTCTCTAAGCAGATTTTCATTTTTGGACAGCTTTTTAATTGGTTGCATATAAATTTGAACAAAACCGGTTTATATTGGATAAATTCGACTATGAAACCGGTTCTATTTTCTAAATCCTATCCATTTTTTTGGATTGTTATTTGGATAGGGTTCGGATTCTACAAAATCTAAATCATGAACACCCCTAATACCAACATGATTTCAGCAACCAAAAGTTAGAGTTTGTCAACATTATTTACGGTATATATAATTCAATGAGAATCCCTGCGAAGAAAAATGGTCCTCTCACAAGAGTAAGTTTTAACTATTTCATTTACCTACAATTGGTGTGTGTTAGAAGAACGCCGGAGATAGAAGTAGATTCAATAGTGCTAAAAAGCTAAACCATAAACTACCAAAGCAATTCTTTCACGATCTTGAACAAAAAAAAAGAAGTATGGATAACAGTTTTTTCAAAACAACTCCTATGGTAGACAAGGATGCAACTTTCACTCTCTTTACACAGGTCAACATCAGGTCAACATAGCATTTGATGCATAGCACAAACTTACCGCAGACAAAGCTTGAAAAGTAGATTCTCTCCAGCAGCTCTCCCGAAGTACAACAGGATTTGTGCTTCCACCAAATACACAGTGCATACGAGTTTCCCTCAGTCGAATCAACACTCCATCAACTCTAAGCTGTAACATTCCCAGATCAACCAGAAAAAAAAATTGCAAGTTTAGGGAAAGTGCAATGAAGCGTGTAAATGTGTAGCTGACACAGTGACATTAATATCCAAGTCAGTCAAAAGCATTATAGATCCTTAGCAATAACTACAGTATCATATATTTTATTATTTACTATTATTTATGATAAACAATCACAAAATCAACATTAAGAATAATAGCAATGTAATAAGCAATCCGCTTTGCATAGCTTCACTTAAAAAACTTTATGAAGAAATTTCATATATGAAGAGGGAACAGCTCACCCAGAATTGCAAGAGAAGAAACCAAGAACTTGGCATGACTCTCTATAAAACCAAAAAGTGACATCATCAGTCACTGAAAATAATAGTAATTTGCACAACAAAAAATGAGCTCTCTATCAACAGAAGAAAGCAAAAAGGGCTTACCACTTTTACAGTAAGAAGTGATACTCCATTATCAGCGAGTTCATCTTCATATAACACCACCTGTTAAAAAAGAGAGATACAGTGGTTTATCCCCATTGACTGAGTGAAGTAACAGTAGAAATGGCCCGTAGGCAAAAATAAAAAAGGCATGATTCTGATGAAATAGAAATACCATCAAGGAAGTAAAAATGGACAATCTACTGCATACCAGTTACAGTTACTCAGGAAAGTAAACATGAATACATATATTAGTACATTACGGTTCTGGGACGTTATTAATAAACATATAGCATGTTTCACAAGTAAAGAATTGCATTGTCAACTTGTAAAAATGAAGCACAACAGAAAAGAACTGATGGGGCTTTAACACAAGAAGATTTGTTCACTAAACCAGTCCTGTCTACATAGGCTTGTTAAGTAATAATTTACAGTACTCACTGCCTACCTCATCATAAAAAAGTATAGGCTCCTTGGATGCCAATGCAACTAAATCAATCTGTTCCTTGCAGTCTTCCCAACGGAGATCGCCGGTTTGCTCGGAGATCTACCATAAAAAATTAAATACCTTGAATAACAACATCATACTAATATTAATGGGATTTTCCAGATTTTTCTTATTAAATCGCTAACATGTAGCTGAGAGCTGAGTTATGCACAAACTATAGTTTCTAGCAAAAACTCATACTACAAAAAATAATCACGGGGCAAAGACTCAAATAAATGAAAAAGGGATGCATACCAGATCTTTATGAATCTCAATAGCACCACTTCCACAATAAGGTGTTGTAAATGTATAGTCATAATCTAATATTATTTCCTCAAAGGGTTTGCTGCACATTAGTTCAAACATACAGCAAGTTCATTTATATCAAATTCAAATAGATTGCACAAACAATAACAAATTTAACATTCAGTTTCAGAGTAGATACAAATTTCCTATAAAAGCATATAAAACAGGAAAGTACAATTTTGCATCAAAATACTCCAAACTTTTACCTTCTAAACTTCCATTTAGCCGCGGCCGGAACTTCAACAGGCGGCAAAGCTTCCTGTTTCCATCCACAAAGAGCATCAAATGCATTAAAGTGAATTTTGGTTCCACTACTCAAGTGTTTCAGAATCAAAGCATTTTCCCCAAAAACCATTTCAGGTAAATGAGAAGTCACAAGTTTCTTTTCCCACCTGCAATGCAAAGCAACACGGAAACAAATCAATAACAAAAAAATTCACAAGCATGTAGGAATTTAGAATTCTAGGTTAGAGGAATTGTGTTGATTGTGTGATGCAAGAATTACTAACTCTTGAACGTTTGAGGAGTTGAGTATGGAGTTTCTGCGAGACTCGATCAGCCAACCGTGGATGCGAATGCCTCTCCGGCCACCGTCGACGAAGATTTCGGCGCCGGCGGCTTTCAAGTCGTTCTCGTCGACTTCCAATTCCATCGTTGCTTTGTTTTCCTTCGCGCTTCGAGATTTTTATTTTTGGTCCTAAAATAAAAAAGTTACTGGATGAGTGATTAATCTAGTAACACAGAATTTTTACCCTACCACCCGAACTATTAAATTGTTATTCATATCTACTAATTTAAATAAATATAATTTATTTAAAAAGTTAATAAAAAATTAAAAGGTGATTAAATTTTTTTAATATAATATAATATAATCATATTTAATATAATAAATTTATTATAGTAATACTGCATATTATAAAAAAAATATCATTCTTTTCATATCACTCATTTTTTTATTTGGAATATATCTAAATCTCCTATATTTGATTCATAATATTGAGAAGAAAAAAAACCAGACCAATATTAATATAATTTATTTCAAAACAATCAACTTAAAAAAATTTATATCATGAGTTTATTATGATAATATAATTTTTTATTTATTAAATTGATTTACACTATATTAATATTTTTATGAGTCTGTCATCTTTTTAATTGGATTTAAATTAATAATAAATTCAATTACGTATTATCAGCAAAATATATAATATTTTTTAATTATAAACCCAATCTAAATTAACAGAAGAAAAAAAAAAGAAAATTACAATTATAGGAGGGCAAGACCTAATCCACTAAATTAAAAAATGAAAAATAAATAAAATAAATGACAAAAACAAAACAAAATAAATAAAAGCTAAAAAAATAAATTAAAAATAAGAAAAATCTAAATTTGAAAGGTCTTGAGAAATTCTTCAGACTAAAATGTGGTAGTTTATTCCATCCGCTAAAATTTTGTAGGATATATCATTGTTTTGTTAATTTATCAGCACATCTATTTTATTCATTGTATGTACGCGAGTAAACCATATTTAAGTTAAATGACTTACAATTTGACTACTATTTTCAAATTCCAAAAATTTAACTTAAATGACTTATAGTTTGACTATTAATCCAGGGATCCCTAGAAATTTTATCTAAATATTTTAGATGCAATAGTGCCCACTGATTCACTTTTGACCTAGATTTTTCTCAAATCTATTGATGCAAGTGTCTGTTCTAAAATAATTATAATTGTTATTATTTATGCGTATAATATCTTATCTTCGCTAAGCTTGCAAAAATATATAATGTGTTTTACATAAAAATAGAATAATTGAGTATGAAATTTATTAATAAGATAAACAAATATGCAAATAGTTATTAGAAGGAAAACCCTCTTAGTGATTTGAGTTGCTATCAATTGCAAACATTGTGAAAAATCATAGAAAAGAATGAATAGACGAAATTGATAGAAAATAAATAAGTAAATAATGAAGGTAATGAGTAAGTAAAGACGTGTAAGAATACAAAAAGACATTATGTAATATAACCGTTTTCATATACTATTATTAACAATTATTGTCATGACCTATCATTTTTTAAAAGTTAATTATTCTATCCATTAATAAAAAATAGTAAGCGATAAATAAAAATAAAGAATTACGTTAAAATAGTAATTTTATAGCACATTTAATGAAGAGTTAAAGATATGAAAAAAAAATAAAAAAATAAAAAAATAAAAAGTTGTAGGTAGATATGGAATAGAAAAGAAATTTATATATATTTATAATATTACACCAAACTATATTATTACTATTAGAATTAAAACAATAATAAAATTAAAAAATAAAATTAAAATGTAGAAATATTAATAAAATTTAATGATAAAGAAATTTTTAATATAAATTTATATTTTGAAATTAAATAATGAATGCATCAATTTAAATTAAAATTTATTATAACGATTGTAAAACGTAACAAACTTTTAAATAATAATATTTTTATAGGTGTTCTTATTATTTTATTAGATATCCTTAATAATTGAAATAGGAATGTAAATATTTTTATAAGTTTTTTTTCTTCTAATTTAATTAGAATTGGAATAGAAATAGAAATATGAACACAATTATTATCATTATTATTATTCATAATTCACAACTCATTTATGATACATAAAATTAATAATAATAATAAAGATATTTATTAATTTTTATTATTTATTATGATACATAAAATAAATTTATTTTATAAACTAATTTTCAAAAATAATTTTAAAGTTAAAATTGAATTTGTTAAAATTGAGGAACCTCTGCTTACATGTTGCTCCTCAACTCAAGCTCTGTTTGATTTCAGACAAACATCTGTCTATTGAGAGTGCTTACAATAACTCTGATAACGGTTGGCAAGATCCCCCTTCTACACATGTCTATTGCATTAGACATATCGCTCAAAACTTCATGAGGGAGATAAAAGACAATACGCTTCGAAAAATGTTGTTAATGCGCCAAATGCCTTAATAGATCCATCGTTCCAGCACTACCGCGAAAAGATCAGGTTGACAAATGTGGATGCATTAATCTGGATCGATAACATTCCAATAGATAATGTTCAAGCACTTCCCCAATCGAAGTCTGTAGGACATCCCCCGGTGAAACCTAGAGGAGTTTATTATATCCCCGCGACTTTATTTGTTGCTAGTCGGGTGGTGCTTTGAGTGTTTTCGAGCCACATTCTTCCTAGTGAAATTTATCCGTGAAGTAGGACTTTGTTTCCTCAGTGGGTGTTTACTCTCTTATGGAACCTTCATCCTGGATGTGATTTAGCCGAGTGTTGTCTTTACCCAAGTTGGCTTTGTCTAGTTATCCCCAGTGTAGTTTGGTTGTTTTGTCAGCACATACATACATCACGCATAGCTGAATAAAAATTCATTGCTCATTTGCATTCATGGGTGTTTTTGTTGACATGTTATTCTCTTTGCAGAGTTATGTTACTATCTCTCCAATAAAGTTGTCAACCTTAAACAGAAAGTATATATCCTTTCAATTTCCCCACTGAGTTATCCCTCGTGGAAGAATTTTTCTTTAGCTCTCCTATCCATCTCGTTATCTAGATGGAATGTGACCCCCTTTTGAGTTTATTTCTCATTAGATGTTGTCTTAGTTGACTGTCTCATTCCAGTTTATTTCGGGTTTGAATCTGTGGTCCCTGGCAATATTATTATTCTAATTTCTGCAGGCTTAGAACCTTGATTTGAGAATGTGCATTTATTTTACACATAAAGACTTTTTCTCCTCAATAGGAATGTGTTGGTATTTCCCATGAAATCAAAATTCATTTTCCACCATTGTTATTGCAATTCCTTCTTAAACAGCAAGTGGTAGGTCTCTTTATTTGAGCCACATGTTCTTTCCCAGTAAGCTTATTAATGCCAGAGAAAATGTTTTACTCAAATGAATGGTAGTCTCGTTGTTATGGGAGATAGTTTGTTGTGAAGATGTTTTACTCTAATGAATGGTAGTCTCGTCATTATGGGAGATAGTTCATTGTGAAGATTTGGTAATTCAATGAATGATAGTCTCGTCGTTATGAGAGATAGTTCGTTATTGAGATCTTTTATTCCAATGAATGGTAGTCTCGTCATTATGGGAGATAGTTTGTTATGAATACTCCAATGAATGGTAGTCTCGTCGTTATGGGAGATAGTTCGTTGTTAAGATCTTTTATTCCAATGAATGGTAGTCTCTTTGTTATAGGAGATAGTTCGTTGATAAGATCTTTTTTCCGGTGAATGGTAGTCCCGTCGTTATGAGAGATAGTTCATTGTAGAGGTGTTTTACTCCAATGAATGGCAGTCTCGTCATTATGGGAGATAGTTCATTGTTGATATTTATATTCCGATGAATGGTAGTCTCGTTATTATGGGAGATAGTTCGTCATTGAAATTTGTTACTCCAATGAATGGTAGTCTCGTCATTATGGGAGATAGTTCATTGTTAAGGTTGGATGTACTTCAATGATAAAGACAATTCGTTGAAAGGTTCTTACAACAGTTTATTACCCTTTCCAGGTGAAACATCTTGGTTAAAGGAAAAACTGAGACTAGGTTGTGGCTTATGATCAGGATCGAGGGGAGGTTTATATGATTCTCCATCAAATGGTATCTCTTCGAAGAAGTCTCGTAAGAGAAGTTTATTGTGAAATCATTGCAGGTGATAGTCTCTTTATTTGAGATAGCTCGTATTTTTATCCTTTCCAGGTGAAATATCTTGGTTAAGGAATAAAATGAGACCAATTTATGGCTTATGGTCAGGATCGAGGGGAGGTCTTATCTGATTCTCCATCAAATGGTATCTCTTCGAAAAAGTCTCGCAAGAGAAGTTTGTTGTGAAATCATTGCAAGTGGAAGTCTCTTTATTTGAGATAGCTTGCATTCTTACCCTTTTCAAGTAGAACACCTTGATAAAAGAAGGAGTTGAGACCCATTCTAGGTAAAATGCCAAAATTTTGGGAAACTCGTTATTGTTAATGCAGATCCTACCTTCAGTAAAAGTTGGTGCATCTGTTATCTCTACCTTCAGTAAAAGTTGGTGCATCTGTTATCTCTACCTTCAGTAAAAGTTGGTATTTTCTCTTTTCTCTCTACCTTCAGTGAAAGTTGGTGGTTCACCTTCAATAAACGTTGGGGTATCTTTTGTTTCTTTACCTTCAATAAAAGTGGTATTGATTATATGTTAGTTTCTACCTTCATCTTTGAGTTGATAGTTCATTGTCATTCTTAGTCGATGTTTATCTCTTTCTCCCCATTGGACCTTACTCCGATTGAGTTGAGTTGTTTCCAGCCATAAGTGCTTATGTTAAATCGTTGTTACCAGCCATAAGTATTGATAACAATCACTTATTTACTAGTCTCGATGTTGATGTTTATTGTCATCTCTGAGCCGGTATTATCTTATCGTTTCTATTCGCGCCCTTCAGGTTAGCAGTTATCGATCCCTTGTGAGTGAATGTTAATCTCTTTTTGTTATCTCCTCTATGAGTGGATAGTTCACATTTATCGATAAATCGTTGTTATCCATTACTTTTTCCTCAGTTATTGAGTTGATGTTATTTTGTCTCCTCTCTGGGATTTACCCTAGTAAAGTTGAGTCTTTTATTCCCTAGCGGAGTTGATTT